ATTGGGTCTGCTGGAGGTGGCCTGGGTGCAAGTCGGTTGTAGTTGCTGACTGGGGAGGTGTTGTCTGATCTGTGGAGGCCAGATGAATGCGGGGTAGTTTGATGTCTGACGTTGGGGAGGAGAACACTCTGTCTTTGTGAAATTTCAGTAGACCGAGACGTTTGCTGTCTCTACCACTTATGAGGGCGGGTTTGCCTGGGATGCATGCCGAGTCTATTACTTGAAATTCTAGTGTTTCGAAGTGGGAGACGCCCTCGCAGGCTAGACTGACTTTGCCCAATGGGCGAATAGGTTCTCCAGAGTAAGGAAATATCTTGACATGCGAGGGGCGTAGCGGGGCAGTTGCCGATATCTTCCTGAAGACTGATGATGGTAAGGTGTTACAGGATGCGGCAGAGTCTACTTGCATTAGCACTTTTATGTTCTTTTCAGGGCTAACGGAGACTGGGAGCCAGGTGAAGTATTTGTCGTCCTCCATGTCGTCACAAAGAGCAAAAGCTGAGAAAGAGTGGACGACGTAGTCATCATCATCATCAAGATACGTTGCAGATGCATCGTTCCCTTGAGAGAAGTGGTGAACAGTGTCTGAGCGCCGAGGGGGAGGGTGCTTGGCTTGTTTTCTTTGTTTCTTTTCAAAATCCAACTTGAACTTGTCTTTGGGGGATCTGCAGACCTTGGCAAGATGGTTCTCAGTCATATAACAATTGGTGCAGTAGGTACCTGGTTTGGTCGCTGGACAGTCCTTGCGGGGATGTCTAAGGCCTCCGCACCAACCACAGTTTCCACGACGGGGTGGTGTCGGTTTCGTTGCCAATTGATTGACTTGCTCTTCGAGGTTCGGGTTGGTAGAGTGCATAATGGCTAGGTTGGTGTTGTGAGCTGCTTCCCAGGACTTTGCACGAGCAAGTTGTTCATCGAATGTGTAGGGTGTTTTCCCGTCTTCCTTGTAGTGATGAAGGAGTAGTTCTCTAAGGTCTTTGTTGTGGACTCCTGTGCATAAGCGGTCGCGCATGAGCTCCTGGAGGGGGTCTGTCATCTCGGAATATTTGGATTTTTGGGCAATGCTTCTGATTCGGGTTTCAAAATCTGTGACGGATTCGTTAGGTTTTTGTGTGCAATTGAAGAAAGCTAGTCGTTGGGGCATGACGTTGTCTTGACCGACAAAATGACCCTCTAAACGCTGCTGATATGTCCATGGCTGTTTTTTCTCTTCTGTTGTCATTTTCGGAAGGATTGTGGTATCAAAAATTTCCAAGACATCATCCGGGAGGGCGAGAAAGAAAGCCGCTATTTCGGATTGAGCCTTTTCTGGGACCCAGTGCTCTGGAGTCGTTGGGCTTTTGCTGGCGTCCCTCCATTTTCGCTGTAGCAGGCACCAGGCATTGAATTTCCTGCGCCAAATTCTTACACTGGCTGCTTTGTCTTCGCGGAACGAAAGGTTTGGTGGCTTGCCTTCGGCCATATTTGGTTCTTACGAGGTCGTTTCTCGGTCAGAGGTCGTCGAGAGTGTACGTCTGAATCAAAAACTCGTAGATTCCGTCGCTTGAAGGAGTTAAGGCAAGGGATGGGGCGTAAAGGCAATCCCACTCCTGACATCAAGTTATTATGCAATACAGGACGCCATATTGGATGAGAACTCGTGTGTCTTTATTGAGTAGTCCAGAGTGCATCGCGCACCCTAACAGACAAAGATAATGAGGGAGGTAATGCTGTCATTGGGCCTCTTCCACTGATGCAAGACACTGTTAATCAAGACATTACTGAGTAAGTATGAATATTAAGTGGTAATAACTCTAACATCACAACCACAGCTAGGGCAACTGATATGATGAACTTGTGAAGCAAGTCCTGCACAAAACAAGGAAACTTTCATGAGAAGTGGGAAATAAACTGACGGTACCAGTGGATTATGAAGTGATTTGAGACTTGACCAGTTTTTTCAGTAAACTGGTTTACTGTTCTGTGATGAACAAGAATAGTGGATTCCAGAGTGACAAATGTTTAAAAAATTTGTTAGAAGGAAGCCACTTCCATTAGTTTCTTAAGTGGCTCTGTAATTACAGAATCTACTGAAAAAAGGGGGTAAGTTTCTAAAGAAACTGGTGCTGCGTCAGTGGGGGTAGCAAGGTAATTATGTAACATCAACTAAGTTGGAAATCGCTCTGACGAAGGGCTAGCACTTATAACATCAGCTCATAATTTTAACTCTTTACGGTGGTCAATTTATAATTTCAACATAATGCTCATGTTAGAATTAAGGTGTTTACTGGAAAGGAAGGTATGTGCCTTCCCCCACATATCTAATCACATAAAAACTAGCCAACAATATGTATATAAGCACTTTGATTTAGCAATAAAAGTAGATGTAATCAGAATTACAGTGTGTGCGAGTCTCTCTTCATTGGATACCCCAAAACAGGATAAGTTTAGAGTAAAACAAGGAGTGGGCACTTATCTGTTGGCCACAAAACCTTCCTTGCTGTAACATTATCATATCAAATAAGACCAGTGCACGAAACCTCAGAGACTAGTGTCCAAAACCAGAGTGTCCAAACTCAAACCTTGTTGTCCAGGTTAGCTCAATGGATAGAGTGCTGGACTGTTGTGTGAGAGGTCGAGGGTTCGAGCCCCGGCCGGACCAACACTCAAGGTCTTAAAATAATTGAGAAGAATTTGCTACCTTTCTATAACATCAAGAAATGGTTAGATATTCTAGTCTTCTCGGATAAAGACGAATAAATGGAGGTCCTGTCTCCTGCAGGGTTAGGGGTAGGAGACATTAATTTCCCATGCACAAGATTACTGTGTGATGGATGTCCTCCCCTGGGGTGGGATTGGTGGGTTTGTTGGAGCTTAAACCTCGTTGGAGACCCATGTCCTATTGTTTCTGCTCCAGTACTTGTACAAATCCTCAAATAAAAAAAAATAAAAAAAAAAAAAGAAACTCCTAAGTCCTCCTTTAGTGACCATCTACCTATTTTTGTAGTCCTAAGAGGGTCTTCCATCAGACCTGTAGAACATAACTACATTGAAAGGCATTCAGTCAGCAATTCATCACAGATCAAAATGAATACAAGGCAATGGAGTCCTATCACAAGTCTTTTCTTCATTAATGTTTATTAATGCTGTCCTTTTTAAACAGCTTTAGAGGAGCTCTTCTGCCTGGTAAGGGTGAAGCTGTGGCACAGTAAGTGAAGGAAGGCAAGCAAATCCCTCGCCATAGTGGGATTAGGCTCACAAGTGATGAGATTGCTACTTTTGAATCATCTGGTTATTTGATTAGTAGAGGCAGGTAGGATAGTGTTTCTCAGTCATTCAGTAAGAGCATATTTTAGAGCCTTGTGTACAAATTAATTAATCTTAAAATCTTGTTACAATATGGATCAAAGAACTGGTGCTTTACTTAATGCTCTCCTTTCCATCTGAAGTGACACTAAAACAATTTCAGTGTTGTGGCAAGAGATTTTGCAGGTCACATCACCCATGTCTGCCTGTATTCTTTCTAGAGATTAAGTTTTGTGTGGTTTATTTTGCTGATGATTTGTTTGCGAGTCAGGTCTCTTTCAAGTGGGTAAATCTTATCCTTTGGAGATTGACTGGCTAGTTCACTTGTCAGCTTCTGCTATAACTTGATTAATTCTTCCTCTACCACAGACTTTGATTGAGAATGAATGTTATATTGAAACAGCTGAACATCTAGTGGGTTTTTTAGGTTACTGAAAAATGTGAACAAAGTAACACAAAATACAGAAACAAAAAACAGCACAAGTCTTAAAGAAGAAAGAGCTATCAGTGGTGTTTGCAACGCCTTTCCAAATGTTTCCATTTAATTATCCTGTAAGTACAGGCAGGAGGCATTGTTTAAGTTTAACTTTGGAGAATGATCCAAGAGAGGAAACAAGACATTGTTGGACTTCAGGGAGATGATTCATCAGAAGATCAACAACAAGAGGTAGTTATTGCAGCTATATAACCTCCCTCCAGTTTCCACTGCTCTTTTCAGTACTGGTTGATGAGGAACAAGCAGCCCCACCAAATATTGGACACACATGTAGCAGAGAATGGTATGAGAGAAGATCCAACCCAGAGACAGCCAAAGCAATGCTCTTGTATCATTCAGAATCAAAATATTCTTCTGTTATGACCCCAGCTCTTTGAAGGATGAAATATGTTACAATATTTGCATATTTTACTTGATTGACTTGCTGCATCCTTTTTGTATTACCTTATTTGGTAATGAAAGTTAGCAGTTAAAAAGTAGATGGTCTGGACCCAGTTGTTTAACAGAATAAATCACTATCCAGTGGATACATGTAGCTCAGCGCCTACATGGACTGTATCCGCTGGAGAGCAATTTATCACTCAGATAGTGTTATCCACCCTAAGACTGGACCATGGTGTTTCCACAAAGGAGCCCTTGGTATTTAAGTACACCACAGTTAATTCTGAATTACAAGCTTCAAGGAATCCCTAAGTCAGTATGAATAAATGCAGACTAAATTGTCTTGAAGTGAACACAGTAATTAGACTGCAGTTTGTTTTCCTGACTAAAGTGAGCTATCAAAGAACTCATTCAGGTGCCACCTAAAGGTATTTTCTCTTTTTGTTTGGCATTTTTCTTTCTTATTGCATGACTCGGGCAGTCAGAGGGCCAATAGCTAAAATCAACCAATCAAAATGCTCTATTACCGGTCCAATATTCTCTAAGTATTGGACCGGGCACTGTCCCGAATGGTCCCGAATAATACCGCACTTGTGTCCCTTTGAACTTCAGTCGTATAATAAATCTCTTATTAACCAAGCTTGCTCGGGACCGTACTGGAAGAATATCGGCCCTTGGTCTTTTCTGTACGGACCTCGCTGCACTTGGTCGGTACTGTCAAGACCTCGGGCCGATATTCTCTCAGTACAGCCCTCGCCCTTGGTTAATAAGATATATATACTGAATTATAAGATCATTTGCAACAGCTTCACTTGTATACCGAGAAAAGTTTTCACCATTGAAAGTTTCATAAGATTAAGTCTTTCAATTTTAATGTAATCACACAAATTATAACATGCTAACAGACTGGGTATAGCTTACGTAGAAGCTTACAATGATTGAATTATATAGCTATATTTGTAGGTTAATAAGTCTTCATAGGGTAAAAAATGATCACCTGATATTGTCCAAATTCTACAACTGTACTATAGAATACTTTGAAATATATGCTGTGTGTTTACCAAGCTCTGCTCTAAGAAAAATTGAAGGGAGCCCAGTGCTCTGAAAGTGTGGAATCCAGGGTATCCAGCATATGCTTTATCTATAAAAAAAAAACTAAGATTCCTGACTTACCCAGGTGCGTTACGGAATTGCTAAAAATAGAACTGAAGAAGTTTCTGGAACGCTTAGTCATGCTAACATGCATTGTATTTTTTAACAAGGAATGTATCTTAGGAGGGAGCAAACTTAAGGAATTTCTCTATCAAGCTTATGACTTTTCAATAATTATGAATGCATTCTTTATCACAGTCATATACTCCTCGGGAGAAAGCAAAGCTTGTTCCTCAAGACGATAGAAAAATTCGTCCAGAATCGCACTTTTCTCCTTTGCAGAATGATGGTCACCGAGTGCTGTAAAAAAGAAAAAATTGCAGTGACATTTATTGACATTCACGAATACCTGTATAGGTATGTAATCATTTCCAGGACCAAGGGTCTTACCACCATTTCCAAATTTTCAACCTTTAGAATGTGGTGAAAGATGTTAGCTGTCCACGCTTTCCTGGATGAAAAGTATTATCAAAAGAAAGGTTCTTTGTGAACTATGAGAAAAGTGATTCATGAGGCTGTTGGGTCTCGTTATTCGTTGCACATTTTTCACCTCCGTCAGTGTTGGTAGCAGTTGCAAGGTCCCAGATTTCAGTAACACGGTAGGATCTGGGTCCCAGCCACATCTATATTAAAAAAGAGGTGTTTAAAGGAGCACTGATGAAACCGCCCTATAATTTGAAAACCCGAAAAATTCAGTTATTTCATTATAATATGAATTTTTAGTGATTAATAAAGCCTTTTCAATAATAATTTTAGTTGAAAGTCAATTCTAGGGCGAGAAATTAAGATTTGAAAACCGTTCCGCCATTAATTCTCGTAATTACGGCTACCTTACTCTCGGTCAGCGGTCACTCCCATTGTGACGCGGATTACTCAACACACGTTTATATTTATACGGAAACCTTGTGAAATTTAGTGAAAAGGTCTTACTCTTAGTGTTTTAAAAAGCGATATATACGATCAAAATACTGTTTTTGAAAATTAGTCACGATCACGGCGCATCAAATGAGTAATCTACCTCACGGTCCCTCCCATTGTGACGTAGATTACTCAACACACTTTTATATTTATACAGAAACCGCGTCAAATTTAGTGAAATAGTCTTAGTGTTATAAAAAGCGATATAGACGATCAAAATACTGTTTTTGAAAATTAGCCACGAGCACGGCGCGTCAAATCAGTAATCTCCAAACTCGCGCCAGTCTTCTTGAGCCTGCGAAGTGATTACGAAAATTAATGGCGGAACGGTTTTCAAATCGTAATTTCTCGCCCTAGAATTGACTTTCAAATAAAATTGTTATTGAAAAGGCTCTATTAATCGCTAAAAATTTATATTTATAATGAAATAACTGAATTTTTCGGGTTTTCAAATTATAGGGCGGTTTCATCAGAGTGCTCCTTCAATGTTCAGAAGTCTACTTACCAGACTGGAAACGGGAATTGCTCCAAGCTCTGGTTTGTTCGGTCATCAGTCTCACACATGCTTTAGCATTTCCAGCAACTTGCCACATGGCTTTCTCTGGTAAAGAAAACTCTTTATATTCTATAGAGACAAGATTAAGACCAGCTTTTCTGACGGGCGATGCGTCTGATATGAATGGCTCCATCATTTCTTCATGAGTTCGGAAATATTCAGGGATGGTCATTTCTTCCACTTCTTTCTGTGGTGTTAAGAGAAATGGCACCTTAGAATTCATATGGACTCATGACGAGAATACCCCAAACCTTTCCACTCCCAAGATCTCCTTACTGTTTGTTGTACAATTCTAATGTTGTTAGCTTGGAGAACTTGAAATTGGATCAACTAACAATCCCCCTTAGTGATAGTCTTCTTCTTTCTCCTGACTTGTCTGCTTGATTTTGTACAGACATTGTAAGGAGAAATAATGTCTTGGTCACTCATGGGAGTTAATTGAAGGTTTAGAACCTCTTGTAGCGCAGGGTTGAAGTCATTAATTGTCTACTAATTTCTAAAGAATTACTCTTGCAATAACAACCGTCAACTCCACATTTTATGCAATCTGATCGACTACACTTAGCGCACCGTTCGACTACAACACTATTTGAGAAATCTTTACAAACAAGCAAGAGTCGTTGTCCATAACCTTGAAAATTCCTTCAATATCCGAAATAATTCTAATGTTCTATTCCTTTGATGTGAGTTTACTGCCAGTTAAACTATCCTTATCCAAAAATTGAAGGCAGAAACAGCGAGCATGCAGTAAACACATGCATACGCTGAGGTTTGACCCTGTGTCGAATGATAAAACCTCAGCAGAGACTGGGTCTAGTACACAGGAAACCTAACATTAAACCGTTGAAACCGGCTTTAATTCTAAAGGTGACGTTTGGGGCGTTAGTCCTTTGTCATTCCCTCTGAAAAAGGGCTAACGCTCCAAACCTCAGCTTCAAAAAGTCTCTATATATGGTGGCCAATTTACACTATCAACTCTGTTGATAAAACCAAATTATTTATTTTACAATTTACCCCAAACAATTTGAGAAACTTTGTGTTAAAAGTCTGGTTCGCATTGATTAAGGATAAACTTCATAAAAAGTTCACTTTACCTTTGAAATAATCTTGTCTTTTTCCATGCTCTCCCACACGTTGTACAATAACTTGTAGATTACCTGAACTGAAGGGCTACTTTCAATTTCTCCTCCACTATGACAGGGTAAAATCACTGCAAGTCTACCACCTACAAAAATAAAACATAATTGTTTGAATATTGCTACAGCAATTTATAGTATATATAATCAGTGCACAAAGTGCGTGGGGAAGCTGTGACCATTTCAAACAACAATTGGTGGAGAAAATTTCACTGTCACATGATGACTGCCTCTCTTGAAGGCACTTTCGTGAGTATGTTATACCAAGGCATTTATATTCTACATGAGATATATTTAATGTCGACCAAAAAAACCGTTGCACATTTTTTAGGCCTTTTTGGGTAAACAGCCAAAGCAATGAGCGTAAATTTATAAAGTGGCAAGTGCAAAGTGAAACTTGGTTTGTGGACTTATATCAGCTAGATGAAGATGAATTTTTTTCGCAATTGTTGCAAACATTTCTTCTCACCTTTGGCAAGTTCTTTTGCTCTCACTAACAAGAACTCTTCCCAGTCCTTCTCGGCCTGTTTGGTAAACATGTCTCTCTCACTCTGGACTTCGGAGAAGCAACACAGGACAGCCTTAGTCAAATTACAGGGCTTTTTCCTCAGCCACTGAATTGCCAAGCAGGAAAATCCCAAATTTACAGACTCACTGGGAAAACATTGCTCGTAAAAACTGGTTCCTGATGCAGATACGAAGACATTTGGGAAATCGAGAACATAGCTGGATGAATGTGGCAGCAAACCTGGAACAAAATGTGTACACCTGCAGTTTTAACTGAGGATTAACCAAAGGTTGCTTTGATGAATTTTCTCCCTAGCTATTTAAATACAAGAATCAATTCATAACAAGTGTCCATGACTCTAAAAAGTTTCGTAAAGATTGCATTTATTTGAAGGCTATCGCAAGTTGATTCTGTTAAAAATAAAGGTATAGCCTATTAATCCCTTTCAAATTCTTCTCTTTTTTGCATTACAAACAATCACCTGGTATCTGTATTCCATTTACCCTCACCCACTACACCCAAAGTCGGGGGGGGGGGGGGGGGGGGGGAGAAAATTGTCAGTTTGTAGACAAACTTCATTTTAAGTTTAGGAACTCAGTCAAACAGTCAAATAGAAATTACAGTTAACTATAACATGCTTTTTCTTTACCTTGCAGAAAATAAAAGATTGAGTTGTAGTCATTTTCTGGTCTGTCCTCGTAATTGATTTGTATTTCAAGCTCATTTCCATACAAGTCTCTCAGTTCCTTCACGCATGCATACATCAGTGGCATGGAGGTCCCTCCATCGGCACAGCCATAGTCAGCGATGGTGAATGGCTTCCCAGAATTCACAGTAATGGACTTCAAAGACTCGATTACCCCAGGAGAAAGATGTTTTATGCTTTCCTCAGATATTAAAAATTTTGAAGTGAAGTAGCCAGCTCCTGAAGAAACCCACTCAGTATGAGGGCGGGAAATCTGCAACCAAAAAAAAATTAATTTTACAAATACAATCAATTTTAATTCTTTATTCAAAAGCGTATATACTATAACTCCTTCAAAATACAAACATTTGTAAACAACATAAATGACTAAATAAATTACAAACATAGTAAAACAAAATATTAAGAAAATATTTCTATTGATGACAAATGAAATTGATGAATGACTCTAAATAATAGCTTTCATTTATCTTGCCTTCAACACTCGATCAGAATATTTTGCATCGGCTCGACAGAGAGTGAGACAGCTATGCAGACCCTTAAGAAACTGCCCTGCACTGTCTCTATATTTCATTCTTCTAGCATTGTACATCTCGCAGGACCTTACACAAAGTGGTGCATCTCTCTCTAGCCCTACTCGCACCTTGTGTTTTGCCCTCATATGGCGATTTTTTGTTAAGGGGGCATTCTGGTCAAAAAATCCAAAAATTCCCAAAAGAAATGTAAAATTTATTTTATGCCCCTAAAGGTCACTTAAGTTTATCTATTTTTAGGATATAATATTCTTTTACCCAACAAAGAACGCTTTTATCAAAAAAAATCCATATGAAGAGAGGTCTCTATTATTTTGCGTTTCCGTTATCATGGCAACGAAAGCGAAACCAATCAGAATTTCAGCTAAATTTACAATAGAAAAACAAAAAATC